TCCAGCTTTTTCTTGCCCTGTAGAGGCAAGTGTTAATCATAGTGACCCAAACCAGGAAGAAAAGGGTATGATGCACTTGAGAATCTCATGGAGAATTGATCGTCTGATACTTCCCATAAATTCAGTGCCATCTCCCTGAATTCCTATTAGCACAGTACATGGCAAGAAAAACTGCTAGTGACTTGAAGTAAATTCGAGCGCATTACCAAGCTTAGAAACTAAGCGGACACCTGTGACATTTTAAATGTGTTCACAAGGCAGCATGAAATGATTTCCAATTAAAGCAGAAGAAAATGGCCATGGTAAGCCCCCACACAGGCCTTACTTCTTCTTCTTTTACAGCACTCTCCGTGTCCTGAAATGTTTATTTTACCTACTACAAAACTAGAAAGGTGAAGGTCCATACTCACACGCAGGCCAATGCATACACATGTAAAATATACCCCTCTCCCCTTTGTCATTTCGAAAATAAGTTTTTTTAAAGCATCTAGTTCCATCCAGCCCTGGAGGAGCAACCTAAAGGAGACTCGGGACTGAGCAGTCCTCCCTCTTTCCCAGCACCCACTTAGGGTTTCTATTGCTGACGTCCTTAGATTGCTGATTGTTTTCGTCTCTCCCACAAGGGCGTCTGTGGAGCCTAATGGTCATAATCCATATTAAATTTATAATCCTTCCATATTAAATTTATAAATGGGCAGAACTTTGTTTGAATTTTTATTGAATGTGTGTATGTGCACATCTAGTTGAGAGAAAGAGAGAGAGAGAGAGAAGGAGGAGAGAAAATGGACAGGCAGAGAGAGAGAAAATTAAAACCATCAGATAGAACTTGGACACCCTGGGTCACTAGAGTGCAGGTGTGCATGCTATTTGAAAGGGACTATATTTTTCTTGTTCTTGATCTTCATAAAAGTAGGTCCTTGGGAAGAATGGTAAAGCTGAAGTGGAGAGGGTGCAGGTTCTAAGACCTAGTATCAGAGCACAAAATTACATCACATTAATTGTTTTAAATAACCTTTTGGAAAATCCCTCTCTGCTTGGTATTTCTTTCTATAACTTAGACAAGGTACACCCTGAGTTAAGCAGCACAGCAATTTAGACCATAACAGCGTCCAATGAAGAATACAAAGGGCCTCATTTAGCACGGCGGCAGCTCCGTAGTCTACTCTTTTTTTTTTTTTAACTTCACCTGGTCAGCCATCTACGCAGAGTAGCGATCATGTCTAAGGGACCCGCTGTTGGCATTGATCTTGGCACCACCTACTCCTGCGTGGGTGTCTTCCAACATGGAAAAGTGGAAATAATTGCAAATGATCAGGGCAACCGGACCACCCCAAGCTATGTTGCCTTTATGGACACGGAACGATTGATTGGCGATGCAGCAAAGAACCAAGTTGCTATGAATCCCACAAACACGGTTTTTGATGCCAAACGTCTGATTGGACGAAGATTTGATGATGCAGTTGTCCAGTCTGATATGAAACATTGGCCCTTCATGGTGGTGAATGATGCAGGCAGGCCCAAGGTCCAAGTAGAATATAAGGGAGAAACAAAAAGCTTTTATCCAGAAGAGGTCTCCTCTATGGTTCTGACAAAGATGAAGGAAATTGCAGAAGCCTATCTTGGGAAG